GGGGGTGGGGAGGAGGACGGGAACCGGATCTGGCTGCCTCGAGGCGGGGGCGGAGGCCGGGGCCCCGGACGCCTGGCTCCTACCTGCTCGGAGGTCCATGGGGCTGGGGGCCGGGCCGGCCGGGCGCGGCTCCTCTCCCGGAGGCTGGCGGAGTGGGAGGGCGAGCCGCGGCTCCGGCGAAGCTTTAATAATCCCATCCGCCAGGCCCACTCGCAGGTTTTTTTCTCTCGGTTTCGCATTTTTTTTTTCGGTGTGGGACATTCTGCAAACTTTTTTTTTTTTTTTTCTGACGTGTAAAGCTGTAACCACAAATTGTAGCAGCCCTCCCCGGGGTGGGGGGGAGGAGGGGGGAGGAGGCAAGGGAGGGCTTCTGGGGCTCCTCTCTCCCTCCCACAACACCGAGGGGGGGTGAGGTGAGGCGAGGCTGCGACGGTACCACCCTGGGCCTCCTAGGGGAGGGGGCAGGGAGGGCATCGTCCGTCTGCAGACTCTGGAGAGCTGGGAGAGGGAGCTGGCCTTGATGTGGGCTTCTTCCTCGGTGTTGGCCTGGGCACGCAGGGTTTCCCTCCCTCTGCTCCCTGCTGGGGTTAGGGTCCCTGTGCCCACCCTACCTCTGCCTCCCTATTTCTAACCTTCCCTCCCCCTCCCACTTGAGTAAAGGCAATGACACATTCTCTCAAATGCCAGCAAGCCTGGCCTCCAAGCTAGTGATGGTGTTTTTCCTGCTGCCCTTTGTCTGGGCTGACCGCCCCCCTGGCCTATTGTCCCAGCCGTTTGTCCCATTTCCAAAAGCTAAGTGAGGCGCCACGGGCTGGGGCAGGTGACTAACCAGCTCACAATGCCCCCCTTTGGGGGAGGGGAGGGAGGAAGAGGGCACCAGGGCCCACTGCCCAGCTTCTCCCTCAAGTTCACAAGGGTTTTTCATTCTTCCCAGTGACCAAGGAGAGTGCACATGGGTGGGGGATTTGTAATTCATTAATCAGCACAAGGCACCGGACCAGTTTCAACACCAGAGGCTTCGCGGGTGACTCAGCGGGAATGCGCAGATTCAAGGCCATGGACAGATCGAGCATCCCGTTTGTGAAATGCTTCCCCATCGAGACATTTGGCATCCTCTTCCCTTTGGGGTTTTGGGTTGTTGGTTTTTCCGGTGGTGAGGTAGGGGTGGTTTGGCTGTGAGCACTCTCCCTACTTCCCCTCCGGCCTGGGTTGGGACTTGCTGAGTGGGAGACCTAGGGGACCCATAAGCTTACAACTTCCCTGGAGGGTCTCCCTTCCTCCCCCTTCCTCCCTCTCCAAAGGGCTGCCAGGGAGAGTGAGTGAGCAACACAGCTAGGGGGAAACAGCTGTCATCTGGGGCTTGGAGACAGCCCCACTCTGTGACTTTTCTTGGGGTACAGTAGTTTGGTCCCCAAGTCTTGGGTGCTTACAGAAGCATACAGCCAATTAAATCACTTGGTGATGAGTTGTTGTGTTGCGCATCTGTTGTCTCTGCACGGTGAAATACTGGTGGTGGCCGGACCTGGAAGGTGATGCCTGTCCCTGGAGTGGCATAAGACATTCATCCTCCTGGTGCCCCTGGGAAAGGAGGGTGCTTTGCCAGTATACCACAGCCCCTCCGGCCTGTGGGTCAGAGTAGGCATCAGTCATGGCCAGTGCTGGTTTCCCAGGGCAGCGCTTCCCTTTTTCTGTACTAGAGAACTGAGGTGGGGGGGTGG